TGGTGATTAGAATATTACTTGACTACCCTAATCAAAGGATCATACAGAAGCAAGTAACCAATCTTCTGCTTTAACATTTAAATGAAACATAAGATGAACAATTGCTGGCAGGCAGGCTTTTACTGCACAAGAGGCTCTGTGGGTTTGATTTAATAAAGTCAAATAGGCTGTTCACTTTGCAAGGGAATTTTCACTTTAGCTTAGTGAATGAGGTGAAGTTTGCAAAGTGAACAACCTATTTGCCTTTAGTAAATCACCCTTTGTTTGACTCTTCTAAAATTAAAAAATGCTCCTCTTCAGTCTGCCAGCAATGTTTCTCCTAAATGTGCCATGCAGTGTACATACTCTGTATTCTTGAGTGTCAGTATGAATGCATGTCAACTCAGGCTGGCCAATCAAGATAGCCATTGGCACTGAAGCGGATAGAAGACTGGGCAAAGATGTCAGTTTTCAGGGACTTTACAGACGTTGCATCACTGGAGAGAAGGTAAGTATAGCAGACTTCAGTTCCACTTTAAGAGTTAGGGTTTTGGTTTCCGTTAGGGCTAAGTATACGGTAAAGTCTAGGAATAATGCTAGATTTTGGAAAAGATTTACGGGGATTGTTAAGACAAGGACTCCATGCACTGCTGAAATAATTTTAGGAAGAAGTTTTCCAATTTTGTTCAATTTAATTTAGTAGCTAACACATGGAATAAAAAGAGACACCCAGATATAACAGCAGAAAAGCATATACCTACATAAAATAACATATAAAATATGAAGGGATTAACATGTAAACCAACTGCATGCACACTTTTCAAAACTGCTCTGATGTATTTTCTTTGCTCCCATCAGCTGAACATGTGAGTATGTGCTGCTGGGGAAACAGGGGAGGTTTTCTTTAAGGTTTTAATGTAAACAAATGTTGCCTCTGTAAGCTGTTTCTTGTACAACATTTAAAGTATTTTATTATGATACCTAGATCTTTAGTGCAATGGCAATGGTGTTGGTCACTTTTTTTTTATATGATCCATTTATAAAATATCAGAATACAGCATAAAGCTCTGCCTTTTGACCTCTTTTATAATTACCGTAGTTGTCTTTATTCGTCCACCTGGTTGCGTACAGGTCCAGCCTGATCTGTTAATTAATAAGTCACAGCCTTCTCCTTCTAAACATGGAAGCATATCACACCACTGTTTTGTTCTGATAATACGAGCTGTAGAAAGAAGAAAATACAACATAAGTGTTTTTGTTCTTATGATACACTTATTTTCTTATATAATATCTTACTGAATGAAAAAAATGCATTACCAGTCATAATTAAAATCATTTCTTCAATTAACATTAAAGATACTAAATAGGTGCTCGGATGCTTTCATCACAGTGTGCTGAGAGGATGCGGGAGGTGCTGCCCGACCATGCCACCCAATTAGTGGAGGATATATGGCACTGGGGATGATAGGGCTGGGGGCCGCCGGGGAGCTGGACTGCAATCTTCACTTTCATTTCTGCTCTTTCTACGTTTCTTTTTGCTTTATGTTTGTGAGTCGGTGTTTGTCTCTGTCTGCCTAGTATGTGATGTAGGGGGGTGACCGTGTTCGGGCTGGCCTCCCATTTAGTGGGGCTGTACCCGACCACCCACCCCAACTTAGTGTTCCCTTCTTATTTTGTTTTGTGTGTTATGTTGGTTTATTTTTGTTTACCATAAAATGCCTTACGGGCAGGGGCAAATATAATTACCTGAACCGATCTTACAACCTGTTATCGAGTTTTATACTATATGCCTCACTGTTTGTTATTTACACATTTTGTGAGACCATGTGGCCTCCGCATGTTCTCTCTTTCAATGTACCCCACCATTTTTGTCCAAAAATAAAGAATTAAAAAAAAGATACTAAAGAGGTATTTTTTGTATTTGAATACATATATTCCTCTTTATATTCTGAACTATAACTTTTAAAATGTTTAAATCAACATTAATATTACTATAGCAAAAATATAGCATTTATGTTATTGTTTAATTAGAGAACGGTACTATATTAGCCTAATAGTTTATTTCCCACAATTTTACATGACATTCATGCATAAATACCCCTCTGCACATTTAAAAGACAATGGGGGTGATTTATTTACCTAAACACACACACACACCAGGTGTGTGTGATTTTCACACAGCAAAACGTATTTATCAACCAAAAAGTCTCTAAAAGCATATTTCCACTAATGCCATATATGGAAAAATCATGCACATGATGCATATATAATGCTGCTTCACAGTTTAGACAAAAATGGTTAGCTCATGCATTTACATTCCTTGCATTCATCAACGCAAGCAACACAACATAGAGCTAATTTACCCAACAAACACCTGCTGGGTGTGTACACATTACAAAGGTGTTTAGATTCCACCCATAGATCATGCTGGGAGGGAACACACTGCAGAGGTGTATACACGTTTGTGGTGTGTTTATAAGGTTAGTAAATCAACCCCAATATGTTTATCTAGTAATTTATAACTTGCAGACAGATAATACATATATACTTTTAAGTTCAATTCAATGAAATTGTATCATCTATAAGAAAGAATTCATTAAATAACAATTAGGCAGAAATGGATCAGTGATAAAATATATACAGTTTGATAGTAAAATTAATTTATTTTCTCAACTGTATAGAACATTTGGTAATGCGACAAATAAAATGTGATTTTTGAGGTTCATTTAACCTGTGATAATCGCATAACAAAAAGAAGATGATTAATCATAAAATCACATGTCTGAGCCACTACATAAGCAGAAATTGATGTGGTTTTATGGGTACAATCTTTTAAAACACTTTAACTACTACACTATCCTACAAAGAGGGCTGGTATTTGTGTATATAAGATGAATAAAATAAGTTTGTTTGCAATTTTAGGACTTTGAGACTTATTAAATAGATCCAATAAAAGGGTGTGCAGTAACTTCGGCAACTAAAAATAATTTCAGATAAAAACAAAATCTAATTTAAAGCAGCTTAAAACTATGATCCTCTTTGCATTTTCTGACATCTTAGGTGATATTTGCTGCAATATGGGTACCCCATCCTCCAACAGACAGTCAATGGTGGAGGTACAGAAAACTGAAAGCTGCATTTTAATTCTATTGTGAAAAACAGGCCTAAAAGGCTGTTCAGGTTTGAAATTAATTTCCATTGGTCTACTGATATTGAGTGAGTGCAGTATTAAAATAAATGTATTTTAATGAGAAAGCAAGGAAGATTGTATTTGCATCTTCCATCTAATCATGTTAGGAAAAAATAACAAGAACGAATATAGAATTTTATCTGATCATATTTTGCTAATGAATGCTGGGTAACTGTGCTACTACACTTCACCAAAATAATTTTAAAACCAAAACCATACAATAAATGTTCAGATTTTTTCGTGGTAACAAATCTTCAGATGCATTTGTGTTACACTTGCAATTGTTACCTTCAACTAAAGAATACATCAATCTTGTGAAACAGAAAAAAATGTTCTGGGTAAAGATGCTATGTTTAAAGACAGTTATATATCAAAGTACCTATCAGCTTTTAATAAATTGCCTGTTGTCTTTGGCAGTTTCTGACAGTCTCTGACAAAGACAGGACATAGGAGTTACTTCTGCACCTGTAGCAAAGAATAATGTGTTAGCCAGTGTTTTCTTTTTTTCTTTAATAGCTTTACAGATTAGCAATGAACATAAGTGGAAAACAATCTGCAAATATGTAAAATCAACTGAAGAACATCTTTATTTTTCCCCAAAATATTTTAAGCAAACGTTAATAAAAAAAGGGCTTTTTCAGTGCCTCAAAATGTTTTCATGTGCTCATTACTGGTAATATTAGTTTAAAATACTGTTATCTTGCTGTATTTCATTTATCTGGGACTGTCTATTTTTTAGGGGTCCTCATTTACATATGCGCTTTATAAGAGCATTGGGAAACATATTGATTTTCCCAACTGAAGGCATATTATTATGGTGATTAGAATATTACTTGACTACCCTAATCAAAGGATCATACAGAAGCAAGTAACCAATCTTCTGCTTTAACATTTAAATGAAACATAAGATGAACAATTGCTGGCAGGCAGGCTTTTACTGCACAAGAGGCTCTGTGGGTTTGATTTAATAAAGTCAAATAGGCTGTTCACTTTGCAAGGGAATTTTCACTTTAGCTTAGTGAATGAGGTGAAGTTTGCAAAGTGAACAACCTATTTGCCTTTAGTAAATCACCCTTTGTTTGACTCTTCTAAAATTAAAAAATGCTCCTCTTCAGTCTGCCAGCAATGTTTCTCCTAAATGTGCCATGCAGTGTACATACTCTGTATTCTTGAGTGTCAGTATGAATGCATGTCAACTCAGGCTGGCCAATCAAGATAGCCATTGGCACTGAAGCGGATAGAAGACTGGGCAAAGATGTCAGTTTTCAGGGACTTTACAGACGTTGCATCACTGGAGAGAAGGTAAGTATAGCAGACTTCAGTTCCACTTTAAGAGTTAGGGTTTTGGTTTCCGTTAGGGCTAAGTATACGGTAAAGTCTAGGAATAATGCTAGATTTTGGAAAAGATTTACGGGGATTGTTAAGACAAGGACTCCATGCACTGCTGAAATAATTTTAGGAAGAAGTTTTCCAATTTTGTTCAATTTAATTTAGTAGCTAACACATGGAATAAAAAGAGACACCCAGATATAACAGCAGAAAAGCATATACCTACATAAAATAACATATAAAATATGAAGGGATTAACATGTAAACCAACTGCATGCACACTTTTCAAAACTGCTCTGATGTATTTTCTTTGCTCCCATCAGCTGAACATGTGAGTATGTGCTGCTGGGGAAACAGGGGAGGTTTTCTTTAAGGTTTTAATGTAAACAAATGTTGCCTCTGTAAGCTGTTTCTTGTACAACATTTAAAGTATTTTATTATGATACCTAGATCTTTAGTGCAATGGCAATGGTGTTGGTCACTTTTTTTTTATATGATCCATTTATAAAATATCAGAATACAGCATAAAGCTCTGCCTTTTGACCTCTTTTATAATTACCGTAGTTGTCTTTATTCGTCCACCTGGTTGCGTACAGGTCCAGCCTGATCTGTTAATTAATAAGTCACAGCCTTCTCCTTCTAAACATGGAAGCATATCACACCACTGTTTTGTTCTGATAATACGAGCTGTAGAAAGAAGAAAATACAACATAAGTGTTTTTGTTCTTATGATACACTTATTTTCTTATATAATATCTTACTGAATGAAAAAAATGCATTACCAGTCATAATTAAAATCATTTCTTCAATTAACATTAAAGATACTAAATAGGTGCTCGGATGCTTTCATCACAGTGTGCTGAGAGGATGCGGGGGGGGCGGCCCGACCATGCCACCCAATTAGTGGAGGATATATGGCACTGGGGATGATAGGGCTGGGGGTCGCCGGGGAGCGGGACTGCAATCTTTACTTTCATTTCTGCTCTTTCTACGTTTCTTTTTGCTTTAGGTTTGCGAGTCAGTGTTTGTCTCTGTCTGCCTAGTATGTGATGAAGGGGAGTGACCGTGTTCGGGCTGGTCTCCCATTTAGTGGGGCTGTACCCGACCACCCACCCCAACTTAGTGTTCCCTTCTTATTTTGTTTTGTGTGTTATGTTGGTTTATTTTTGTTTACCATAAAATGCCTTACGGGCAGGGGCAAATATAATTACCTGAACCGATCTTACAACCTGTTATCGAGTTTTATACTATATGCCTCACTGTTTGTTATTTACACATTTTGTGAGACCATGTGGCCTCCGCATGTTCTCTCTTTCAATGTACCCCACCATTTTTGTCCAAAAATAAAGAATTAAAAAAAAGATACTAAAGAGGTATTTTTTGTATTTGAATACATATATTCCTCTTTATATTCTGAACTATAACTTTTAAAATGTTTAAATCAACATTAATATTACTATAGCAAAAATATAGCATTTATGTTATTGTTTAATTAGAGAACGGTACTATATTAGCCTAATAGTTTATTTCCCACAATTTTACATGACATTCATGCATAAATACCCCTCTGCACATTTAAAAGACAATGGGGGTGATTTATTTACCTAAACACACACACACACCAGGTGTGTGTGATTTTCACACAGCAAAACGTATTTATCAACCAAAAAGTCTCTAAAAGCATATTTCCACTAATGCCATATATGGAAAAATCATGCACATGATGCATATATAATGCTGCTTCACAGTTTAGACAAAAATGGTTAGCTCATGCATTTATATTCCTTGCATTCATCAACGCAAGCAACACAACATAGAGCTAATTTACCCAACAAACACCTGCTGGGTGTGTACACATTACAAAGGTGTTTAGATTCCACCCATAGATCATGCTGGGAGGGAACACACTGCAGAGGTGTATACACGTTTGTGGTGTGTTTATAAGGTTAGTAAATCAACCCCAATATGTTTATCTAGTAATTTATAACTTGCAGACAGATAATACATATATATTAACATATCTACAGAATGTTATGATGCATACAGAACACACTAATTCACTCCTCACTTCCCATTTCAGCTGAAGATAAGCTGTAAACTGTTTTCCAAGCTCCATATGGCAACAGATTTCAGTTAAGCCCTTTGACCATCTTGCCTACTTCTTAAACTGGTGTTGTCAAAATATGTGTTTGAACACTGCATTTGCTGATCATTCATTCATACAGTCACCAACTGCCAGAAACATGGTAAATCTCCCAAGTGGGATACAGCAACATTTTTTTGACAACAAAAAGTGAGATAAAACTTGCGTGACAGTTGCAATTCTAAACATTCTTAGCTGCATAGTAAGATATGAATGATTGGAATACACATGAAAATCTTCTCTAAATCCTTCTTGCAATATCTGAACTAGGAATTAAGATGATTGCATGTTCCTTGTGGTAACAACTAAAATGCTTAGGCATTAAAACATAAAACCCTGTATGGCAACGGGTTTTTAGGGTGGTAATAAAAATATAATATTTCCAGTTTAAATAAATAATTTTTACTATACTACCTATTAAAGAATTCTAAAATTATTACAAATGAGTCAGTGTTTTTCTATTCAGCAAATCAAGAGTAATAATGAAGTTATGATTGTTCTCAAACCTCATGGATTAATTTACTTTATTAAGTAACACATCAGTTTTTATCACATTATTTTAAACTCATACCTGTTTATCTTGTCAGAAATCCCTAGCTGTTCTATCTCTTGTTCACTCCTGCTTTGTTATCTCAAGGAGCCTGATCAGCCCTACCATATTGTGGAAGATGCCCCCCCACACCTGATTCCCCCTGCCATGTGTTCTGGGATCATTTGTCTCTCCTGAGTGCCTGGGAACTCCATTGTGGATGGATGGAGAGCAGTGGGACATTTATTCTCTGATCTGCCCCGTGAAGAACAAACCCAGTAGCAATCAGCTCTGATCACTTCTTGGTTTATTGCTGTCAACCTTCAGCCACTGTAGCCGTGACTGAGCACAGTCTAGCTTGGTGATATTAGGGGTCTAAAGTCTCCTTAAAGGAAACCTGTCACTTGCACATAGCTAATACAATGGGGCTTGTCAGCCCCATTGTGGTAGCAATGAAGTTAATCAAAAAAGCTAAAAAAATTAAAGTGAAATAAAATGAACCTCCTCCCCATAAAAGCACCCCCACGATCTTATGTCAGGTGTACACGTGTACAAAATGGAGGACTGCACCACATATATTTGGTATTGCCCTGCACGCTGGAGTGAAAGCAATAATTCTAGAGCCATCATTCTAGACAAGAACTTTAATGTTTAAAAGGTTTTACTGGAGCTAGAATCAATTAGAAATTATATTAGGTTTTATAGTCATTAAAAATATTTCCTGTCTTGGTGACCACTGTGACAGGAAGTTAAGGGAACCTCTAATGTGTTGATTCAGACATTAAAAATGACATGCTGCTAAAAAAAAAAGTGATTTTATAGCTGTCTGTATCCATCTAGAAAAATTCTACTTTCCATTTCTTTCATTGTGATAGGAAGATAAATAGTCCAAAACAGGGACACAGTCCACTTAAACATATGTTTAGTGTACATTTTATGTATAGGCTTAAAAATAGGGGGTAAGAATGAGCAAACTTGGAACTGTCCATTTCTGACCAAATGCAAGCAGTGGTGGACTTTGCAGAATGCCTTGCAATGTCCATGGAAGAGATTTTATAGTAAATGTGATGAACTGCATTTTTGCACCAGTTGCAGGGGCGGGAATTAAAGGAGAACTTGTTAAAAAAACAATTATATACAATAGCTATAAAAGGCATTTTGTAATTAAATTGTGATTAAAAATTGCCTTTCCATTTCAAACTGCAACCAATGTAATTTTCAAAAAACGCACAAAAAATTAAATGAATCGTGGCAACCAGGAGGTTTTCTGTACACCCCTGGTGTAATGAAATCCCACAAAAATGTAATTTTCTGCTTGTGTCATTGGCTCACTATCCCCTGCAATAAGAGTTTAATTGTAGGTGATGTTGTCCCCAAGAGTTAACTACTTCTAAAGGGATGGCAATACTGAAGCTTTCTTCATCAGAGCAGTGGGATTTCACCAGGAGGTTATAATGAACCAGGCCCTCCCATTTAGGAATCAGTCTGGAATAGACGCAGTGAAACATAAAGCCTTTACAACATAACAAGGTAGGAATCTGCAACAAAGTTTGTTAAAATCCTTGCAAAGATCTCCCAAAGAGGATTGTTTTTCTATTAACAAAAGTGGAGTTGCACTTTAATGTCTCAGTTGCAGTGTGGTCACCTTTAACAGAGCAAGAAATGCACATTGTTATTGCCCTCATTTTGTCTAGGAAAGTTTACCTTTTTCACCTACACTTGTAGCAGCCCTAAAATAATAGCACAGTACATCTTAACTTTGCCTTACTCTGGTATTTAATTTACTCTGTAAAAAGCTGCCTAATCCTAGGCTACCATACTATATTTCAGCTGCAGCACTATGTCTTCACAGTCAATAGTGCAGCTCATATTTGTACTTATTGTAAATTTTCTAAATGTCCTTTCAGCCTTTTTAAATTATCTATAATCTAATAATCTTGATATAGTACATTCACACACAATGCCAAGTGCTATATAAATCAAATGTGACATATCACTAGTGGTTCTATTGATACAAAATTTATCTCCCCTTTTGACAGATGACCTCGTCACTGAGAGTGCTCAGTCCACTAGCTGTGACTTTGGAGGTCACCCCTAATGTACAAACATAGATGTGAGTTAACAAATATATCATTGTACAAAGTAACATATTGTACTTGTACTGAATATTGGAAATGCACATTGTAAAATATACTTAAATGCCTAAAAGACAATGTGAAGTGTCTGCATCAAAAAGCAACAAAAAGCAACAAAACATCAGAGATGCACAAACTTTATATTGGACAACAAACCCATTGTCATATTTTAACAATGGTTTTGACAGATAAGGACCTCATTTAGAAAACACATTAATTTTGTAGTTTTATGAGCCTGAAAATCCATGGGGGGTTTTATGAATACTTATTCTGTACTGTGCTGACTGGTGGGGGGTCTTTATTTTGTGTCTTGAAAAGCATGATTCAAAGTGCTTCATCCCGCTGAGAATTCATATACCCTTCATGCTTCACTTTAAAATACGCACAGCAGGGAGCAGGAATAAGTTCATGGATCAAACCTTCATACAAATGTAGCATTACAATAAAATGGTAAATTTACAGAGTGTGTGCACTGTGAACAGAACATTTGACTTTATTAACATAATATGATAAAATCTCTAAGTCTGAAGAAAAACAAGCAATGAATCTGCATTTTGCATTAGTTTAATGTAGTACATAAATGGTTTCATCAAAAAAAGTCACTCAAGGCTAAAGAGTGCTACAGAAAATATAAAAACTATGATTAAGACAAACAGGGTAAAAAGGGCATTTGTCTCGATACCATCAGACCAGAGGTTCAACCAAAGACTAGCAAGTAATGGAGTCTGGATTGTGAAGGATTTAATATCTTTTTTACTTGGTGGTTCAGGAAGACAAGTGGCCCATTGTTTTAAGTACACCCGTGCAAAGGCGGTGGGCATTAAAGTATGTACATATTCTTAACAAGTACTAAAAGAACTTAAAAATAATTCATCATTTA